TGCAGTAAGTGCATGAGGTCCTCCTCAGTTTCAGCGAGCCAGGTTGTGTCATCTGCATAACGCAGATTGTTGATAGATCGTCCACCAATCCTAACGCCACGCCTCTCCTCATAGAGCTCCGCCTATCGGATAATCTGCTCTGCATACAGGTTGAAAAGGTAAAATGTTTCATGAAGAAGGCTAGTGGCGAGGTAATGGAGATTGTTTAATAGGTTTTGCTTTAAACTTGGAATAATTGGGAGGTTGCCTGTGTGAAGTAACTAGCACCTATCCATAATAACAGACTATGACAGCAAGAATAAAACTCAAGTCTCCTGATACAAGGTCGTTTCAGATTAGCTGTGGGAGACACAGAACAGGTGAAGTTGGATGAGGAAAAAATGTCAGAGAGAAGTCAGAGGCAGAGTGCACAGTCCAGGAAGGAGAGACCTGGGGAGGGAAGGGCAGAGTGACAGGCTGGCCTGGGGAGCAGGAGGAGACTCTAAGCTTGAGAACGCTTTATAAAGCCCTGAGCTGTGTCCAGGCCTCTCTCCTTCCTTTGGGACAGAGAGGTTATTCCCTCTCCAGACACCCTGTGTTGTGGTATTTCCTCTGAGCATTTTTCCTCTCAGTTCTTCTTTTCCCTATCAGTCAGTCATCGTGTCTGAAATTCTACTATATCTAAAATAATATCTTTGGGCCAAGACACTACTTGATGATTGCTTTGATAAAATTTAAAGTTACTTAGGACATGTTATCCCACAGGCTACAGAACTTCTGGAGGCATCCTGGGAGCCTTCAAGCCCCAGGGCCCTCACACTGAGACAGGTACTGCTCTCCATGGGGTAGTATCACCTGCAACCTCGGGATAGACGTGGCTTAACTGCATAGAGAGTCAAGTTTACTTGAAGATTTTGAAGGAAAATCCATTGCGTTGTTTTGTTTTATTTTTAAATTTTATTTTATACTGATTTACTTACAAAGTTTGAATGCATTGTTTTTCAGATTGTGTTTGTATTATAATATAGGATAGCATGCAAAATGCAGGTGAATTTAAAAAAAATAAAGGGATATATATTTGCTTGCAGAGTTGGCATTAGGTTACTTGGGGCTGGGTAGCCAAACAGTGTATTCATTCTCTACGGCCTGCAGGGTATGAAGTAGGGAAGTTTGGGTCAGCTCTCACTCATTTTACAGGTAAGAAACTAAGGTTCAGAGAAGGGATATGATTTGCCCAAAGTTAGTGGTAAGATCATAGACTTAGCTTTCAATATGGATTGTATCTCATCACAAAGAAGATAAAACTCCTCACCACTGGACAGAAAGACAACATGATGATAGATAAAAGAAAGCATTGAAATTGTCAATGATTTCATCTTACTTGGATCTACAAATCAATATGCCCTTGGCATCAGCAGTCAGGAGATCAGGAGATATTGGGCAAGTCTGATGTCAGGGACCTTTCCAAATTACAGAGGAGCAGTAATGTCAATTTGAAGGCTAAGGTCTGATTCAGGCATGGTCTTTTCAATTATTTGCTCTATATCTGAGAGTAGGACAATGAATAAGGATGACAGAAGAATTGATGTCTTTGAGTTGTGGTGTTGGGAGAAAATCACTGAATATCCCATGGACTGACAAAAAAACCCCAAACAGAAAAACTCCAAACTTGGAAAAGTGTAGCCAGAGTGCTCCTTGGAGTCAAAGATAATGGGACTTTGGCTCACATGCTTTGGGCATGGTGCTAGGAGAGGCTATTCCTTGGAAAGGGCCATTAATTACACTTGGTCAGCAAAAGAGAGGAAGACCCTCATCAAGATGGATGGACACACTGCAGCAAGAGGCTCAAGTATGTCAGAGATGATGAGGATGGCACAGGATAGGTCAGCATTCAGATCTGTTGTTCATACGTTCACAATGAGTCCAACTCAACTTGGCCACACCTATCAACAAAATAGTGCAAGACTAAACTCCACGTCTCCTGATCACCAGGTCATTTCAGATTAGCTGTGGGAGACATCGAACAGGTAAATTTGAGAGAGGAAAAAAGATCAGAGAGAAGTCAGAAGCAGAGTGCAGTCCAGGAAGGAGAGACCAGGGGATGGAAGGGCAGAGTGACAGGCTGGCCTGGGGTGCAGGAGGAAACTCTGAGCCATGTCCAGGCCTCTTTCCCCCCTGTGAGCCAGAGGTTCTTAGTCTTCTAGGCAGCCTGTATTGTGACATCTTTGAGCATTAGGGTTTATGTTGGGAAAAGGAAGTTGTGTTATTAAAGCATGCAGTTTAAAGTGGATTATCACAAGATTTCCCTGCCTGCTGATCTCAAACCATGTCTGGAAGGGGCAATTCTGAAAGTTCCCTCTAGATGTAGAAATGGGCCCCCTTTCAGCACCCTCACAACCAGTTAGGTCTCCTCCTCCTCCAAGTCTCTACTAAGACATCTCTTCTAGGTTTTATGTCTTTCCTTTGGTCTTAAAGTACCAAGGGACAGAGCACAGTGTTGTCATAGAAACACAGGCAGACATGCCTACTGACTGTACACTAGGGAATTCCAAAAGGGCACAGAGCAACCAGGTGGCCTGCCTGGAGCAGGGAGGAGGAAAGGCAGCTGTGTAAAATGTGTTTGCTGTGGACGCTTCCATTTGCCTTAATGTTACCATAAGCAATCCTACCATCAAGACCATATGGTGGCCTAGCCCGGTTACTGACACTGGCTCTGACCCTGGCCTTGTGGTGAGCAGCTGCACTCGTGCACACCTCTTTCCCTCTCTGAGACTCCATCTCTCTCTCTCTCTCTCTTTTTAAAAAATTTTCTTTTATTATTTTGCATGTGTGTACCATCAAATTGGATCTGACTGGTACAGGAGGAGATTATCCCTCCTTCTCCAGCAGAGCATCTGGTGGATTCAAACCTCAAGGGACTAAGGATTACAGTGAAACTGACGATTCAGAACAGACAGGCCCAGATTGAAGTGGTGCCTTCTGCCTCTGCCCTGATCATCAAAGCCCTAAAGGAACCACCCAGAGACAGAAAGAAGCAGAAAAATATTAAGCACAGTGGAAATATCACTTTTGATGAGATTGTTGGCATTGCCCGGCAGATGCGGCACCGGTCTTTAGCCAGAGAACTCTCTGGAACTATTAAAGAGATCCTGGGAACTGCCCAATCTGTGGGCTGCAATGTTGATGGCCGTCACCCTCATGACATCATAGAAGACATCAACAGTGGTGCTGTGGAATGCCCAGCTAGCTAAGGAACTACAGATGAAAATATTTCAATAAAGGATTATTTGTTAACAAAAAAAAAAAAAACAAAACAAAACCAAAAAAACAAACCTCATACCTCTGGGATTGCAGTGCAGCTTCTTGCCACTAAACCACCAGAGCTCCAAGACTCCACGTCTCTTATAGTGAGGTCAAACACTAACCAACAAAGATGCATGAGACCCCAAGTAGAATTTACAACCTCTCACAGGCAATTCTCAGAGTTAACCCAAGGGTATTCCCAGTGTTTGGAGTTTAAAACATATAACAATGGTATCCAAAACCAAGCCTACTTTGCTCTGTAAACTATCACTCAAATAAGACTTTTTTAAAAAGCCAGCCATTTAAAACACCTCAAAACCTATTACTATCAACTCTATTGCAACTCTTAATGACCCTGTAGGACAGAGTAGAAAGCCAGAGAGTTTCCAAGACTCATCTTTACAGAATCAGACGAACCTATCCTAATACCAAATAAAACTATCTTACCACTCAAGCACTTGATTAAAATAAACTCAGTCAAATCTGTCACCCAATGGGTAGATTCAAATGACCAACCTTTCACCTAGCAGCTGAGTGTTTAAACACTTGCTGATAGTATAGCTAGTGGTTAAGGTACCAACGGAACCTAGAGGGAAGAGTGAATCACAGCTACCATTTTATTATTAGAGATAGTGAGGATGGCGCAGGATAGGGCAAGTTCAGGGCTGGTGTTCAGACAACTATGAGTCATTTTAAACTCAGTAACACCTATCAACAACAACTGTTTATTAAAAGCAGCTCTGGTGATGTAATCTGCAGCATGTGTAAACAGATGGGCAAATAAATACAATTATTACCTACTCATTTACACAAAAGGTAACTTACATACTTTAACCTTTTTGCCTTTTTTACTTAACATATTTTAACATCTTTCTATATAATTTTGTACAACAGTTGGCTTCCACTGTATTGTTGTTATGTGCCCTCCAGTCGACCATGACTCACAGTAACCTTATGAACAACAGATCTGAACCCTGCCCTGTACTGTGCCATTTTTTTCTACTGCATACTATTATAAAAATATACTTCTTCTTGATGGACATTTGCTAGGTTGTTTGCAGCCTTTTACTACTATAAACCTGCAATGAACAATCATGTAAATGTCCTGATGAATTTATAGAGGTATATGGCAAAATTGCCCTCCATACACTATATAATTGCCCAACCAACAATATACAAGTCTGCCTTTCACAGACTCTCTAGTGTCCTCAAACTCCAAATCCTTCCTAAGGAATGGGTGAAGATGTTACCTCAGTGTAGACTGACTTTGTATTTCTCTAATAAAGCCTCTTTTAATATCTTTGAGCTCTTTTCTATAGACTGTCCTATATTTTGCCCATTTTCTATTGAGCTGTTGGTCAATTTTCTTATTTCTGGGGTGCTACCCACTTCCTAAATAACATGCCTCTGAAACTCTATGAACTTTGATAAATGTTGATAGTTGTAGAGGGGCTTCAGGCCTTTTGTTCATAGGGTCGCTAGAAGTTGTGTTCAAAAGGCAATCAACAGCAACTCATATTAATGAAGTTAGTAATTTGTCTGTGATATGAATATGGTTTGCCCTAGTTTGTCATTTGTCTTTTAACCTTGATTATGGGATGTATTTGCCCTGTAAATTGTGCATATGTGTGTATGTTTAAATTATCTTTTGTGGCTTCTATGTTTTCATGAAGAGTGAGCATTCTCTTTTCTCATGCTGAATTTATGAGGATTTATCTTAGCTTTTTTATGGTTTCATATCACACCTTTTGAATGTTGATTTTTTTAAATTCAATCATATATATAGTGTGAGATTAGGAGATTTATTACTATGGGCAAGTCTGCTGTCAGGGACCTCTCCAAAATACTGAAGAACAATTTGAAATACTGAAGATGCCAGTTTGAAGACTAAGGTGCACCTGATTCAAGCCATGGTCTTTTCAATGACTTACTATACATCTGAGAGCTGGACAATAAGTAAGTACAACAGAAGAAGAATTGATGCCTTTGAATTTAGAAGAGTACTAAATATCTCATGGACTGTCTTGGAGAAGGTTCCACCAGAGTGCTCCACGGAGGTAAGGACCGTGAAGCTCCATCTCTCAGACATTGGACATGTTGTTAGGAGAGACTATTACTTGGAAAGGGATATCATGCTTGGAAATGTGGAGGGTCAACGAAAAAGAAGATGACACCTAGTGAGGTGGGTTAATGTGAAAACTGCAGCAGTGGGCTCAGGATAGGACAGAATTCAAGTCTGTTGTTCAGACACTATGAGTGTACTTGACTCAATGGCACTGAACAATAACAACATAGTGTGAGAATGGATCTGTTCGCCCCACCCTCACTCCCAAATCTCCACCTCTCCACCCCCCCCCCCCCCCCCCCGCCACTTCCTGCAAGCTAGTTACTCAGATGACACAGAGCCCTGGTTGCGCAGAGGTTAAGGTGCTTACCTTGAGTCCTTCCTCCCTTCCCCGCTGCTTTGTTATGTTCCTACCTCTCTTTTCCCACTACCTGCCTAGTTTGTTCCAATAGTTTTGAAGTCATTTCTTCCACCCACTCACATGGGCTTCTCTCGGCAGCACGATTTCAGCCTGGAGAGGAAGGCGCTCTTCTGGGTGGAGGCCGCCACTCAGGGGCCCGGCGCGATCCAGTGCGATGACCCGGGGACAGCGACAGCCCCACCAGCTTGGCTTTTGCTGGTCAGCCCTGAATTCAGGCCAGTGTCTGCAGCGGCCACGGTCAAAGGCGCAGAGACAGGACCCCAGGAGATGTCAGAGGAGGAGGAGAAGGAGGAAGAGGAGGGGGAGGAGGATGAAGCTTCCTCTAGCAGCGAGGAAAAGCCCGGAGCCTGCAGCTCGCCCGCGAGCCCGGGGCCCGGCGCTCGCCGCTGCTCCCTGGACATGCTGCGCGGGGTGCGGTCCGAGCTGGCCGGGGCGCGGCGGCGGCTCTCCGAGGGAAGGCTGGCGGCGGGCTCCCGGGCCCTCCTGCACCGCTTCCGAGGCCACCGTGCTCCGAGCCTCTGCCCGAGCCCCGTGACCCCCCTGAGCCCCGTGCCCCCGCCGCCCAGCACCCCCACGCCACCCCCGCGGCCCTGCACCGCCGACGCCGTGCCCCCGCGGCCCTCCACGGCCGGAGCCATGCCGCCACTCAGAAGCCACAAGCCCACGGTCGCGGTAAGGACGCCAGCCAGCGACCCTCCCCCTGGGTCCTCAGCTACGCCCACAACCACGGGCCTCTCCTCTCATTCCTTCTCCCACCCTTACCTGCGTTCACCTGACCCTGTACCGTGATGGTCATTATGTGCCTCTTTGCTTGTAATATTCTCTGCTCAGGAATTCTCTGTTGCCCCGTTTCCCCCACTGCCCACTCTGGATCGCTTGTGTTGCTGTGTGCCATCGAGTCAGATATAGCTGCTCTTCCAGTGGGTTTTCAGAAGCAGTAATCACAAGGGAGGAGATTACCCATCCATCTCTCGAGGAGCAACTGGCACATTCGAACCACCCGCCTTCGAGATTACAGCACAGATTCTTACCACTAGGCCAGTTGTAATGATCTAATTATCAGTTCCAATCGAATTAATAATTCTTTCAAGATAGGGATTGGATGGCACTTTCAGGAGCTGCCCATAGGGGGTGCTCAATGAGTACTTGTTGAATTTATCATTGTGACTCAAAAAGTTAGACATTTCCGTTGGGAGAGATTAGCTCTACCACAGGTGAATTCAAGAAGTATTTACTGCAGTGATACTTTCTGTCAGCCCCTGTGTTGGGGAAAAACCATAGAATGAAGAAAGATGTTGGATGGAGGGAGGGATAAGGCCCAGAACTGTGAGGTGGCCTAAGAAGGAACTTTGGTGTCCCAGCCTTAGGGTTTTGCTCTGCTAAGCAAGAGGCTAGGGAGCTCTGGTGGCCTATTGGTGAGATGCTGCACTACATACCCTAAGGTATGCAGTTCAAATCCACCAGCCGCTGCCTCTGAAAACCCAGCCCAATGATACACAACACCACCAAAAGCCTGGGTCTCCAGTGGTTCAAATCCAACAGCTAGTCAGTGAGAGAAAGATGGACAGTCCTCTGTTATTAAGCTTTACAGCCTCAGAAACCCAATGGAGGCTTGCTATAATTTGCAACAGACTCAATAGCTCTGAGTTACTGGGTTTGTTTTGGGTTTGGGGTTTTTTCCCCCCCTATAAAAAGATTCTCTCAAATTGTATGTCAGATTCCACCAAGACTGTGTCAATCTGAGCAGGTCAACTCTGCTAACAGAAGAGGGCAGTGAGTCCAGGAAATGCAACAGAGTAAGATGAAGGTGAAATAAAAGTCAAAAGACAGACCCAAGGTCTGACTGTTCCCACTCACAGTGTGACCTCGGGAAAGTGGCTGAACTCTTTGAGTCATGCCTTATCACCAGGCTCTGTAAGCTGGGCCAACCATGCCTGAGCCCACGTCAGGGAATGGATGGCCATGCTGGGTTCTCTCCTGGTGGAGATAAAATTTCATTTTCAGCAACAATCCTGTCTGTGTGGGGTGTGGAGCAAACACCATTTTTGTTCTATAACAAGGTGAGTGTCTGGAAACTGAGGCATGGAGAGGCTAAGGATCTTTTTAAATGTCATTGAAGTAGACTCTGCTCCTAACATTTGGATGTTTCCCCACCCTGGGAGTGAAGAGCACATCTCAGGATGAGGCTATGGTACATCCTCTTACAGATGAACTGGGAGAGATGAACTAAAACACCTCCAAGCCATCCCACTTGGTGAAAGGTTGTTTGAGTCTCTTCAGCACCACAACTGAGAGGCCAGTGTGCCCAGTCCCTGCCTTGCTACATGCAACTCCAGGCAGTCAACTCAAGAAGGAGGGTCTGACTGAGAGGATTCATGCTATACCAAGATGTGAGGTGAAGAGCTCTTGACTTGGGTTCAGATTAAGGTGTTAGGTCCCAGGTATATCTGGCTTATCAGGTCATTAGAGAACCCTGGTGGCCTAGTGGGTAAGTTGTGCTGCCAACCTAAAGGCAGGTGGTTTTTAATTCACCAGCTGCTCTGAGGGAAAAGGATAGACAATCTCCTCCTAGGCGATTTATTGCCTCTAAAAATTTGTTAGAGGGTCAGCTCTGAGTTGGTTCTACCTTGACAGCACACAACACATCAAGTCATTAACTTCTCTGAGCCTAGATGTCAATACCTGTAAAACTGGATAGCAGAAAGGATCGATCATATAAATTTGGAATCTATCATCTATATTTCTCCTGCTGGCTGTAAGCACTAAATGAAATATTAGCATTTACTGTATGGTAGGCATTTTTCTTACAGTGTTTCATTTCAATCTCATGACAACCCTTTGAGGTAGCTACAGTGATTGCCTCTACTTTATACAGTCAGTAAAATGAGAAAGCTGGGATTTGAACCCAGCTCTTCAAGACTCCAAATTCTCCATAATACTGATCCCTACACTCTGTATAGAAGGCAGTATGAAAAAGTGCCTTTCAAAATATCCAGTCAGTAGGGTGTCATCTGTGTGATAACAGACTTATTCAGCCTGTCTCTGTTTTAGTCCCTCAGCCCGTACACCTGCCTGCCACCCCTTGGGGGGATGCATCAGTCTCTAAAACTCCGCCAGCCACACTCTGATTCTTCCAGTGACCTGCTCTCTGCTCTGACCCAAGAAGAGCAGGACCTCATTGGGCCTGTGGTCGCTCTGGGGTATCCTTTGCATCGGGCCATCTCGGCTCTGCAAAAGACAGGGAGGCAAAGCCTGAGCCAGGTGAGTATGGGGGCTGTGGATCTGGGGCCAGGTGACTGGCCACGCGGTTTTCTTCTCTTTAGAGGCGGACCCCTAGTGTGGTTATTACCCCAGCTTGGAGGCATAAGCAAATTTCTAAACCCTAAAGCTCCCTCTTCTATATAGATGTGTTGGGGTTTTCTAAATGGCATTGTCATACTTAAATAAGTAACAACTTTATTTAAATTTTTTATATTCAATTTTTAAAAGTTTTTTATTATTAATTGCAATGAAAATTTACAGAGACCTTGGATTTCCATTCGTTCATTGTTGCACTTTTCTCCCTGCCCATGCCTCTCCCCCAGTACACTCCCCTCTTGGAAAAGTAAAAGAAAAATTCTTTCATTGTTATACAATCCCTCCCCCAGGTCCACTCCACTATGCAGCCTTTGCTCTGGACTCCCATCATGACAAAAATACCTAATCACATATCCCTTTTAAACAGTTTTCTCCCTTATCTGTTTTAATGCAGTATACATTATTGAACCCATCTTTCTCAGTCTCCCCCAACCCAATGTCAGTCCTGTTTTACAACAGAGGCGCCATGCAGTATTTGTCCTTTTGTGACTGAAGTACTTCACTCAGCATAATGTCCTCCAGGGTTACCCATTTTGAATAATATTGCATGCGTTCCTTATTTTTCAATGCAGTGTAGTATTCCATTGTGTGAATATACCACAGCTTCTCTATCCATTCGTTTGTTGATGGGCACTTAGGTTGATCCCAACTCCTTGCTATTGTGAACAAAGCTGCTATAAACATAGGTGTGCATATATCTGCTTGGATGTCAGTTATGGTCTCTTTAGGGTATATTCCCAGTAGTGGAATTTCTGGGTCAAATGGTATCTCTATTTGCAACTTTTTGAGAAAGCGCCATACTGCCTTCCACAGTGGCTAGGTGTTTATCCAGAGTCTCCACCCCTGAATGAGGGAGTCTCTCTGCCTCAAGGAGGGGGAGCTGAAGTTTTGGGTAGCCGAGAATCTCTCCAGTGCTGTCCAAGGGAGCTTTGCAACAATGATAGAAACGTTCTGTATCTGTGCTAACGTGTCTGGTGGTCCCAGTCAGATGTGGTTATTCAACTCTAAAATGTAACTGGTGTGACAGAGGAACTGAGTTTTAACTTTTAATCAATCATCACGTAACTTTAAATAGCCACACTTAGCTAATGCCTATCTAATTAGATGGTACAGCTCAAACTCCTTCCTTCGCTGGACAGTTTGTTCATACCTACAGCTATCTACCTCATCCATCTGTCCCTCTAGTTAGTAACTAAAGCCTTTCCTGGAGACATAATATTCCTGATATGTAGATCCTTGCAGTCCACCCACAGAGAGGCTGGTGCCCTGTGTGTGATATAGCTAGGAGCTATGGTGAAAACAAAGATACATAAAATCCAGTGTTTTAAGTAGAGTTGCCCAGGAAATGAATGCAAATGGAGTCTGACATGTAGGATATTTATTAAAGAGGCCATTGGTGCCCATTCCTGTGCACAGAAGGGGACAGAGGAGGACTAGCTACAGGGTGAATCTTCAATCAACAGCACAGCTCTTAGCATATATCACCCTATGGAGTGGGATTGAGATGATCAGATCTCTAAACACCAGCCTCAGTCACCCTCTGGGAAGAGCAGTGACTAGATAAGTGACTCTGAAGCTGAGGCGGTGACTAAAAGTTCATGCTACCGAAGGGTGTCTAACCAAGACTTCCGGCATCTGGACAACAGGTCCTTCATTGAAGGGGGATCTGCAAGGTGCCTGACAATGTTCCCTACACTCAGCTCCTGTTCTCAGAGTTCACATTCTTATATAATGAAGAATTCAGGAGCATTTTGGAGAAGAGAGGACCCCAGAGTGTTAGAAGAGAGATGCCAATGACAAGTTATTGGGACCAGGCAGCTATGAATAGTTTAGCCACCTATTGCTGTAAACCATCCATACACAAAAATTAGTAGCTGAAAACAACAGGCTTCCTGTGGGTTGGCAGTTGGGATGGGCTCAGCCGATGAGGAAACAGGCCAGGAAGCCTCTCATGGCGAGTCAGAGGCCGCACACGGAGTGAAGCCCGGCTGCCCTGACTTGGAGTCTTTGTTGTGTAGTGATACGGTCTTGTTTTCTGGGTGCAAACCTCACTCAGGACCTCACACTGGAAGCCTCCCGCCGCCCCCCACCGGATGATCTGAGATGTAAGAGTAGATCTCAAGCTGCTTTTACCTTGAGCTGTTGCAGAAAAGTGAGGACTTTGTGAATGAACCAGGAGGACTATGAAGGAATATACCCATGATGGGGGGCCTGATATGCCCCCTCTCCAATCCCTTCTAGGCTCAGTGATGAGGATAAGGGCACCAGCACCTCTGTGGGTGGGCTGGAAGGATGCACATATCAGGAATGTTACGTCTCCAGATATGGAGCTATCCCCTGCCTGGTGCCAGGATGGCCTGGTGCTTAGGTGGCCTTCTTCCTCCCAGGACAGCCAGGGCCAGGCCCTTGGATGTAGATGACCACATCCTGTTCCCCCTGTGCTGTGCAGGCCTCCCACTAACTGAACAACTCTTCTAGGTTCAGCTTTCCTCTGTCCCTGAAAAGCAGACACTCGGTAATAAGTTATTTTTGACTGGAGAGATAAATGGCAGATGGCCCAGGAAAAGGGTATCAAGTGATGAAATCCAAGCACGTAAAAGTCAGGGAGAAACGAAGAAATTGAAACACAAACATCATTGCCCCTATCTGCCTTCCAAAATCGTCATTGTACCCACTGCGTATCTAGAAAGACAGCTATGGGACAGACCAGACGAGCCAGCACTGACTTGCAGGGGACTCTAGGCAAACCAGGCCCCCTCTGGGTACGGTGGTTCCTCTGCTCACAGAATAGGAGGGGCATGTTTGTCTGGAGTCAGTGATTCTGAGAAAAACCTCTTTACCCCTCAAAGCCCATGTTCTGAAAGTGATACTAACACTCTGGGGAGGGGGCAGTGCTGAGGCAGGCCTGGTGGTCCCTCCTGCCCTGGAGGTCTCAGAGCTGAACAGGCAGCTGAATCTTTACAAAAGCAGATTCCCAGGCACCACCCTGTAAAGTCCCAGGCCATGGATCTAGGGTGGAGCTCAAATTAAACAACAACAACAACAAAGAACAAACAAACAAAAACTTCCACTGCCATCAAGTCCATTTGACTCCTACTGACCCTGTAGGACAGAGTAGAACTGTCCTATTGTGTGTCCAAGGCTGAGAATCGTTATACAAGCAGACTGCCTTGTCTTACTTCCATGGAGTGGCTGCTGAGTTTGATCTGCCAACCTTTTGGTTAGTGGCCGATCTCTTTTTTTTTTTTTACATTTTATTAGTATTAATGAACATTTACAGACAGGGATTTGGGGTTTTCATTCCTTCATTGCTGTACCATTCTCTCTACCCTCTTCCCCAGTTTGTTCTTCTTCCCCCACCCTCCGAATGTCTGTTTTAATTGTCCAATTGAGTGGCCGATCTCTTAAACACTATGCCACCAGGGCTCTAGGATTTTTTTTCAGTTTTGTTATATTTGGCTGGAGTCTTTACTGTTGCTCCGGCTTTCTGCTGTAATTCTCCAGTGGCTCTATAGAGGGATAGCACAGAAGACCTGTGGAGTGTGATAGTCGTTCAGAGGCACTGGGGTGGGGTGTAGATATATGATAGTTTGTAAAAATGGCTACATCTAAGCTAAGCTAGTTGAATTCTTCTTAGACTTGTTTCTCTAGTTTTTGTTTTAGTGAATAGCTCTGGGGCAGATGCACCCTTGCCCTACTTGCTCCTGACCATGTTTATAGAATTTGGGACCTAGAATTTTAAAAGATCAAGAGATGATTCTGATGTGCAGCCTGGCATGGGGCCTGCTGGATTGTGTCAGCCGTGCTTTGATCAAAAGCTAGCTGCACATTGGAATCACTTGGCAAGCTATTAAAACCACCCAGGTTACATCCCAGACAGATGAAGACTAGCAGAATCTCAGGAAGTTCGGCTCAGGTACCTGCCATTTTTAAACTCCCCAGGCGGTTGCCATGAGAACCAACCTTGAGAACCATTCACTGCCATGAATAAACCAAGAGGTGAGGGAGTGCCCACCGTCTGACCTTGTCCTCCCTCCTGTTTTTACCATTGGAGGCCTTGTTTACTTTCAAGCCAGCTCAGCATTCCTTCCCTAGCTGCTGACTGATGATGGACAAAGCTCTGGTGAAACTTGCCCAGCCTGGATGTTGGTTTCCTCAACTGTGAAAGAGGTTTTGGGTGGCTGGTTTGTGTGCAGGGCTGTGTAGGCATCTGGGGAGTCTCCTGGGGCAAGAATGCTGGACTCCAGGCTTCCACTCAGCCCCTACATCTCCCAGAATGGCTCTGACCTTACCCAATTATTGTTGAAGCCACTTTGTACTCTGGACCAACGGTTCAGAAACAAAATCTGTTTGAAAACCATTAGTCTGATGATCTGTGCTTTCTGTTGAGCTGTGAAGGTCTGCAGAAACACAGCCTTCTCCTTCTCAAAGTGCATCCGTCATTCTTATGGTCTGGAGCCCTCATCTGGCACTGAATCCTCATAAATCCTACTCTGATTTGCCTGGCTGTTTTCACGTATCTGGTTTATCTCCCCCGGTAATCTGGGAGTTCCTTGAAGACTATTATTAATTATTTTTTTTTATTGTATTATTTTTACGTGTACCATCAAATCAGATCTGACTGGTACAGGAAGAGATTTCCTCCTCCTTCTCCAGCAGAGCATCTGGTGAATTCGAACCATGTACCTCTGGAATTGCAGTGCAGCGTCTTGCCACTAGACCACTAGAGCTCCCTTAATTTTATAAACTTAGCATACGTTTCTTGAGCTGAGTGCCTTCTGCTTGACCTGCTGCATGCTGGGAACACAATGTTGAACATGACAAATACATCCTCATGGAGTTAGTGAGTGAGATGATGAGGTAGAGAAATAAAGCAACTACACAGGTGTATAGTACTGAGCTCCACCAGCTCAGGCCGAGGGTCAGAGGTTTTCAGGAAGAGGAGTAAGGCTGGCCTTGGATGAGGAAGCTGGATATGCAAAGACCTTTAATGAAAATGATCAATCAGCTTACACTTGATTATTAACAAAAAATGACCAAACTGTTTACACCTGACTTTCAATTAAATAAAAAACCCTGAAGACTAATGGGAATGACCCAATTGATTTTTAAATACAAAGGCCCACCCACCCAGTCTTGATTGATTTGAACAAGAGGCTTCCAGCCCACAGTTGATGGTTAACTTAATAAAAATGATCAGTTTATAGTTGATTGCTAATGAAATAAAAAATGACTAGTTTATATTTGACTTTCAATTAAAACAACCTACAATCTAGAATCCAACTGCTTCACACAGGAGCCACCCAACTGGAATGTGCAAAGAGCTGGAATTGGAGAATAAGAAGGGAAGAACTTGCTCTATATTTCTTAACCTGAATGAACAGAAAAACAAAATAAGCCTTGAGTCACAATATTGAAAGATGCTATGAGCATTGAATGACCCAGAAAGCATCAAAAGAACATGGGGGGGATACACAGAGTCACTGTACCAGAAAGAACTGATTGAACGGGAAAACTTCAAGGAGTACCAAATGAACAGGAGCCAATGGTAATAAAGGAGAAAGTGGAAGGAGCACTGAAGGCATTGGCAAAATATAAGGCTCCAGGAATAGATGGGATACCAATTGACTTGTTTCAATTATCAAATGCAGCCTTGAATTAAATGCAGTCTATGCTAGGAAATTTGGAAGACAGCTGTCTGGCCACCTGACTGGAAAAAGTCCATATTTGTTCCTATTCCCAAGAAAGGTGACCCCACAGAATGTGGAAACTAACAAATAGTATCATTAATATCACATGTAAGAAAAATGCTGCTGAAGAGCATTAAAAAATGGCTAAAACAGTACATTGATAGGGAACTTCCAGAAGTTCAAGCAGGATTTAGAAGAGGCTGTGGCACAGGAATATTATTGCTCATGTCAGACGGATTCTGGCTGAAAGTAAAGAATACTAGAAGAATGTCTATTTGTGCTTTATTGACTATGCAAAGGAATTTGACTCTGTGGATGATAACCAATTGTGGCTGACATTGAGAAGAATGGGAATCCCAGAGAACCTAATTGTGCTCATGAGGAAACTTTACCTGGACCAGGAGGCTGTTGTCTGAACAGAGCAGGGGAACACTGCATGGTTTAAAATTAAGAAGAGGTGTGTCAAAGTTGTATTCTCTCTTCATACCTATTCAATCTGTATGCTGAGCAAATTATTCAAGAAGCTGTACTCTATGAGGAGGAGTGTGATATCAGGATTAGAGGGAGACTCATCAATAACCTGTGTTATGTAGATGATACAACCTTGCTGAAAGTGAAGAGGAATTGAAGCACTTGTTGCAGAAGATCAAGGAATGCAGCCTTCAGCATGGATTGTATGTCAATATTAAGAAAACAAAGATTCTTACCACTGGACTGATAAGTAACATCATGATGGATGGAGAAGAGATTGAAACTGTTAGCAACTTCATCTTACTTGGTCCACAATTAACACCCTTGGTACCAGCATTCAGGAAATAAGGAGACACATTGCACTGGAAAAAATCTGCAGTTAGGGACCCTTCTAAATTATTGAGGAATAATGATGTCAGTTTGAGGACCAAGGTGTGTATGATTCAGGCCATAGTCGTCCCAATCACTTGCTTCTGAGAGCTGGACAGTCAATAAGGATGACAGGAGAAGAATTGATGCCTTTGAGCTGTGATGCTGGAGAAGAACACTGATCATCCTGTGGACAGCCAAGAGAACGAACAGATACATCTTGGAGAGGGTGCAACCAGATTGCCCTTTGGAGGCAGGAATGATGAGGCTTCACATCACATACTTTGGGCATGTTGCTAGGAGGGGGTTATATAATGTTCCTTGGAGAGGGATATAATACTTGGAAGAGTAGAGGGTTGGTGAAGGAGAGCAAGAATCTCAACCAGGTGAGTTGATGTAGTGACTGCTGCAGTGGGCTCTTGTGTGTCAGGAAGTGTGAGGATGGTACAGGACAGACAGGGTTCAGATCTGTTGTTCGTAGGGTCGCTATGAGTTGTTCTCTACTCAATGGCACCTAACAACAAAACAATAACATGGGGAGTGAGAAGTAGCTGAGGCTAGGGACAGGGGGCCTGAGCAGATCTTTGAGCCCTGGTCAGGAGTCAGGGTTTTATCCTGAAGGCCATAGGAACCCCTGGTGACTTGGCAGGAATGATTTTCAGCCCTGAGGGTCCTTTGCTGCTCCCCTCCTCTAAGCACTTTGGAGCTCTGCTCCAGGCCTGTTGCCTAGTCAGAGCTGTGGAGTCCTGGTGACAGTGATGTGACTGAGCCAGGTGCTCACCAGGGTGGGGGCAGGGTTTGGTGAGTGATTCAGGCATGTGGCTGTCCTGAGAGTTTGGAGGGCCTTGCCCAGTTACCATGATTGGAGTGTCTCCAAACCTAACAACACTTGCCTGGGACTCCAATCCTTACCGTGGGACCGTTGGTCAAGACCTGTTGTCATCCATCTGTCCCAAGGCCTCTAGAGGAGGCACTGTCTTTCTGTTGGCTCACACGGTCTCTGGGACCACGTGGGTGCGCTGCCCACTCCACCTGCACCCTGGTCTGTTGCCTTTGTCACTCCTCTCACGGCTCCTTCCTCTCTGCCTCTTCCCACCCAGTTCCTCAGCTACCTCAGCGCCTGTGACCGACTCCTGCGTCAGGGCTATGAGGAGGGCCTGGTGGAGGAGGCCATGGAGATGTTCCAGTTCTCGGAGAGCCAGGTGAGTAGGCCTCCCGCTCAGGGCCCCCCCTCCCCCGGGCAAGGCAGGGGCCAGCAGAGCCACCAGTGCTTGGAGTCCAGCCACAGCTGCCTGCTTGGGAGAGGAGCATGAAGGCAGGTGGGGGACCAACGAGAAACACAGAAAGAGGGAAGAGTTTTATTTCATTAAGCCAACACAGCAAGTAGTGTGGCGCTCCCCTTCCTTGTCAGCAAGGAGCCATCGGTAGAAGAAGAGGCTTGTATCCTCTGGTCAGGGACTTTGTCCTCCACCCAGAAACCCATAATGCCCGCAGCTGTGGCCCAGAATCAGTTCTCAAGTGCCAGTGGAGACATGTGCCCATGCCTGGCAGTGGGCCCTGGCCTGGCAGAGCAGCTCTTCAGAGAGGCTGAGGGAAGGGACAGTGGAGGGAGGAGTGGACAGAGGGGTGGGGCTGTGAGGGTGTGGGAGCGATGATAAAGAAGAAGGGGTGCTTGGAGCTGAGGAAGAAGGCGGACAGAGGCCACATGGAGTGAAACCTCAGGAGTGTCTAGAGGGTGGGCAGAGACCTGAGGCTGTTCACCCTATGGCACTGTCCGCAGCATTGGGCACAGGACAGCATGAGCCAGCGGGTGGGAGTAAAACCAGGATGGAGCCCGGAAGTAGCAGCCCAAGAGATTCCAGGCTGGGGCTCTCCTTAAGCAGATAGAGTGGGCTGGGGGATGTGGTCACCCTAAGAATATAGGGAAATGGCAGGTGCTTGCTCTCCTGGCCTGGAGGTGCAGCCAATGACCCCCCCTTTCCCCTCTTCCTCGGTCTCCTCAGGCGGGTGAGTTCCTGCGGCTCTGGGAGCAGTTCAGTGACATGGGTTTCCAGCAGGACCGCATCAAGGAGGTGCTGCTGGTCCATGGCAACCACCGTGAGCAAGCCCTGGAGGAACTCGTGGCCTGTGCTCAGTGACTCCTGGGGCCCCGCACGGCTGTGGGGGCTAGCCCGTGCCAGACCTGGCCACCCATCCTAACTGTATGATTAAAACAAGAATACCAAAGCTGTGCATGTTCATTGTAACGGGCAAACAATGCCACCCCACCAAAAAGCCTACACCTGCTGCTGTTAATAGATTCTGACTTATGTCCCTATAAGGATGGGGTCTAGCTATCCCACAGGGATCCCGAGGCTGCCTCCCAAGGAGCTAGTAGGTTCAAACCACTGACCTGTGATTAGTAGCCCAACATGTAGCCCGCACACCACCAGCTGTCCTGGCAATGCCAAACTCACTGCCATTGACTGGGTTCTTAGTAAACATCCATGGGGTTTCCAGGGTTGTAACTTGAAAAGGGAAGAGACTGTCCATCTCGCTCCTGTGGAGCCGCTGGTGGATTCAGATTACAGCAGACAAATGGCCTTTGGGTTAGTAACGCAGCTCAAAACTGGCTGACCACATTGTCAGAGCTCCCAATACTGCCATGTCAAAAAGTCATTGCCAGGGAGCTGGAACCAATTCAAAGCTGACTCTTCATTGGCTTTTCTGAGACCGTAAAGCGAATGAGAGGAGACTGCCCATCTTTCTCCCTCAGAGTCACTGGTGGATTCAAAGCACCAGAAAGGTACCACCTTTGGCCTACAAAACAATGCCAAAGGCTGCTGTAAACTCCAAAAAGAATCAACTGAAGAAGCAGAAAGAGGGTGCCTCTGGGGAGGGACGAATGAATGAGCACGAGGGAGCGAGGGTGAATGAGGAACCGGGTGTCACACACAAACCTTTCCAACCATCTATTTGACTTTTTAAACTTTGTGCAGAGGAGCTTTGATTTTAAGGAAACTGGAACACATACATGATGAGTTGTTTTGGGCTCATTGGGCTCCTGGTCTTGGTGTAGAGAAGCACCTGATTGGAGGCCAGAAGACCTGAATTCTGATCTTGGTTCTATTGGTGACTGGCTTGGGCTTCAGTTTCCCCAGGAAAATTGAGCCAGGTCAAAAGTTTTCTGACCTAGAAGTGGCTTGAGACTCCTCTGGGGAATTTGTTAAAGAAGCCCAGGCCCTTGGCTTTGCACAATCTGATTCAGAAAGCCCGACAAGGAGGCCCTCAGGAATCTGTTGATTTGTTGGGTTTTTTGTTTTGTTGGGCTTGTTTGTTTTGATTTTTTTTTTTTTTAATAAGCAGTTCTCTGGGGATTCTTATTCACTGGGCTCCTAGCAGGAGCCTGAGGCAGCCACCCTGGGTTCCCTTCAGCTGTGACAGTCCATGATACCAAATCAGTCTTCTTCATTCAGAGAGGACTAGTTGAAGCCAGAATTGTCTCTAGTCACCTTAGTGTATATTCTGGAGGCCCCCAGAGATCAAGGGGACCAGTTGCTGGAGAGGTCAATGACTATAGAGGTCAGAGGCTAAAACACTGCTGTCCTGTCCCTTCCTGATGACCCTGCAAAAAGTCAGTTACAAAACCAAGCCCCTCAGCACCCTCCATCCCCCAAAACAGGGCTGGCCCAGGGTCAAAGGTCTGTATAAAACAAAAATGTCTGCATTTCTTGGAACTTCACCCCAGCTGGGCACTTTGAACAGGGAGGGGGAACTTCTCTAGGCCCACAGACCAAGTTTGGGACTAGAGCCCAGGTCTCATGAGGCCCAGCCAGTCAGATCCTGGGTGCTTTCCACAAAGCCTGGACGCCTGCCAACTTGAAATCACATTAAAAATACCCTTTGTGCTTAAAACTTGCTTTGAATAACTTGCAGGCTGTGCAAAACAATTTGAAAAAATGGGCAGGGTAGCAGAACGTTAGTCATGTTTCCATTGTTACACGCCTCTGAGGAGGAAATGGCTTATAGCTGACCCTCCTGAGGGTTTCCAAAGACTATAAATTACCAGGAAGGAGACTGTCCATCCTCCTCCCTCAGAGCAACTGATGGATTCGAACTGCTTGCTTTTGGGTTGGCAGGCAAACTGCTTACCACTGGGCCACCAGAGGTCAATTAGTGGTGCAATTTTAGGTAACTAGACAGGAGTTTTGTTGTATTTTGTATTATTTTTTATATAAGGGCATTTCTGTTTTAGAACACAAGGATAGCAGAGAAGGCCTTGTGCATGACCCCCATGTATCTAACTACTTGCTGGACTGGACCCTGGATAAGGGCAACCCCTAGAAGAAGTCGGGACCTCAAGTGAGGCTTGGTATGCTGATGAAACAGGCACTGCCAGAACCCTCAGCTCTCACTTCTGACAGGAACTTCTGCTACTTTTGCTTCTCCTTGAGTCAACCTTCCATGCTGACAACATTCTCTGACACCAGGGCTCAAGCTAGCAGAAGGTCCTCCAGAGCCTTTCCCAGTGAATTATCCAATAGCAAAGGAAGCACAGGCTCACGTGTGCTTACTTAGAATCTGAAGGAACCCTTTCACATTTATTTCCACAAAGGTTCTGCCTCAAAGTATGGCTGGCGCCTGCCTCTCTCCCCACCCCACAGACCTTCCTACAGAGTCAAAGCTTTCTAAAAAAGGTCTAATTCCTGACAGCACCCAATAAGCGAGGTAAGCATGGGCTTACTTGTGCCACATGCTCAGGTCTAATAATCTGGAGAGGACAGTTTCACATGTGCTTTTTTTTTTTTCACCAATCCTAAGCTTACCTTGCTTAAGGAGTAATCCGCTGGTGGTTAGAGGGAGGAGCTGGGGTTCTTCTCAGATCACACTTGACCTCCAGGGATCAGATAGAAAGTCAGGACTTCCTTCTTGGGGGCCCTCTCCTCCACTCGTGGCTGTTTCCCTGCACCCTTTTCTCCAGCCTGTGTCTCCAGTCTAGCTGTCCTGCCCTCCTATCATTCTTTGCCTAGACGAGGACTTGGGGGAGTGGATGATACTCAACTCAGCAGCTCATAAATGGTAGACCATCCCTGATTTCAAATCCTACTACACTGCCGTAGTGGTAAAGACAGCATGGTACTGGTACAATGACAGACACATAGATCAATGGAATCGAATTGA